AGTGCCAAAGTATTTTCTGTTCTGTGCTACCAGTTCGTCTTGAAGTCTATTCATTTACCAGTACCAAAGTGTTCGTATTTTCACCAAAAATGAAGAGAAAACATTCTAGTGGTGTCTGAAATCAGCTGAAGGAGGAAGCAGTAATGGACAATTAAATCTTGGATATTGTTATAACAATGGGATTGGAACCATAAGAAAGGCCCGAGATTATAGGAAAAATATTCCAGTGGCACCTGAAATCAGCTGAAGGAGGAAGCAGTGATGGACAATTAAATCTTGGATATTGTTATGACAATGGGATTGGAACCCTTCATTTACCAGTGCCAAAGTGTTCATAATTTCACCAAAGATGAAGGGAAAGTATTCCAGTGATACCTGAAATCAGCTGAAGGAAGAAGCGATGATGAATTAAATCTTAGATATTGTTATGACAATGGTATTGGAACTATAAGAACTATAAGGAAGATTCCCGGAATTATTTTCAGAAAAAAAAGCAAGACAAAAATTAAACTTAAATTATCAAGTAAGTATTTTAAAAATTACATGCGGAAAAGGGATTTTACATTTATTTCTTTGTTTATATGTGTTAGTTATTTTTAAATTAAGTAATTTATTGTAATGATAATAATAATAAATAAAAGCCCAAGATTTAAAATACTCTTTGTAACGGGTCATAATTTTTAATTTTATTTTATTATTTGTTTAATAAAAATAAAGGTTATTACATTTTGTTCGCGTGTATTTTTGCAAAAATTTTTTATTGTAATTGATGTCTTAACGTTTTTCCTAACTTTTGATTTCATAATTCAAGACAAATATTAACTTTTATTCTTTTTCACAATGTGGATAACAAGGATATTAGAACAGATAAATGATTGCAGGGTGGTCATGGGACAATGTGTATTACTAACTCTATTTTTAGTTTATTTTTTAATCCTTAACGGTAATCAAACTATGGTAATCACGCGAATTGATACGTAAATATATTTAGATAAAATTGAGAAGATAGAAGAGCACAATATCTACAATATATATATATATATTGAATGTTTAAACAAAGATTGTATTTGTATTTCAAATGTTTAAATATTTAAATAAATAAAGATTTCAAAAGTTAAATTTTATGTTAAAAAAAAATTATATTATATTTGGTAATTCGAAATTTTAAATATTTTAAATAGTAAAATTCAATTAAGGTAAATAACATTTAATTGTTTATAATTCTCAGAAAAAATTTTTTTTATTATTATTTATCAATAATTTACCTTTCATATAAAAAAACAAAATGCTCAATGACAATCTAGACCCTGGGTATAGGATAGTATCCTAAACTGGGTGTGTATATTAAGGATCCTAATGTATATAAACGCGTCTTTTTTTCATTTTTTTTTTCAACTTTCTTTCTTAACGATAAATTATAAGCGTGAAAATAATTTATTATTATATTTCCCTTTTCCTCTTTTTATTATTTTTACTCTAAGTTTTATAACTTTTAAATAATAATAATATAATTCCTCTTTCTTTATATTTCTAAAAATATTCAGGTACTTCACCTTTCTAATGCAATGGGTATAGAAGAATTTCTTTTTGTACCAAAAGAAAATATTGTTTATGAAGATTTGAAAGATAATGAAATTATTATAGAACTTGTTGATATTTTTAAAAAGTCAGAAGAAAATATTGAAGATGTTGAAGAATTAGATGACAGTATTGAACCAGTTATTATTGATATTAGTGTAGCATTAAAAAGTATAGAAAATGTACAAATGTTTTTATTTCAACAAGAAAATTCAGAAAAGTGTATTAAATTAGCAAATACATTTGAAAAATTTATAAAAATAAAAAAATCAATATGTCAACAATCTAGTTTAGATGAATTTTTTTCAAATTAATAATTGTTTAATTATGTAATAATAATTAAATAAATGTGATATAAATATATAATATCTAATTAATTTAATATGAAAAATATTTTTTTATGAAATTTTTTATAAATGCACCTCTTTATAAATGTACCCTATTGCTAATTTCCCGAAGGATGTATTTATAGAGGGTTAACTGTACTTCTTTATGTTTTCTCCCATTTGGAGTCAAAAATATTAGAGCAAAGTTTTTTGGAAAATGGTTACAATATTGAAGTGTCCAGAAAGTAGATCGGAATGTATAAAAAACAAAATAGATTCTTTTTCACTAGTTCTAATTATTCTTTGAAATCTTTACATAGGTCAAAATTTAAATATCAGGTATTATACGTGTTGCCCAAATCCCAAATTACTAGTATTTGGGATTTGGGATTTGGGATTTGGGATTTCAGCAAAAAATACTAATCATAATTTGGGATTTGGGATTTGGGATTTTGGTATTTGGGATTTTGGCATTTGGATTTTGAATTTGGGTGGCAGGTATATGAGTGGTTAAATGTAACTTTACCATTATCTGATAATTCAAATGATTGTGCAGATGGTTACAAACTTAAAAATTTATTATTGAAACCTTATGAATAGAATTTGTTAAATCAAATTATAGATTTATTGAAACCTTTTAATGATGCTACTACATATTTTAGTGGAATATCATATGTAACATTATCAATAATATTTCCTGTAATACAAGCACTTAAATATAATTATATCTATATATTACCAAATGAAAATAATAATAATGGTAATAATAATAATGAAAATAATAATAATGGAGATGGAAATGATAATAAACAATGTAATTATATTTTTATATTATTTTATTTTATTTTATTTATTATTTTAATTAACTTTAATATTATTTTATAAATATATCAAATTTTATACATGAAGAATCATCAGACAATAATAGTGATAGTGATGAAGATGATAATTCAGATAGTGATCTTAATACTCCTGAAAATTTACTTCAATTAAAAAAAATTACTTCAGAAAGAAATAATTAGCAAATAATAGAATTAATGAAAAAAACTATATATAATTCACTTTTTTATTATTGGAATTAACCATTAATAATTAGTCTTCTTGCTACAATTTTAGATCCAAGAAAAAAATCCCTTTCTAATTTGGATGATGATATTCTAAAAAAGGTGAAAAAAGAATTAAAATCTCAATTATTAAATTTAATTAATATACAAGGAATAACTTTAATTTCAAATTCTAATATAACAACATCTGATTTTCAACATAACCACTTATATATTCAATATTTGAAACAAATATTTCTAATATAGTTAATTCAATAAGTGAATTAGAATTTTATTTAGATCCTATATATACACCTATTGCAAATTATGATATAGATTCATTTAAATAGTATCAGAAATTTAATTAGGTGTAGATTTACAGAATATCACATGACCTCTTGAAATTTACACCTGAAAATTTTGATTTTTTAACTTCAGCTGAGATTTAAGCGACAGGGAGCGATTTCCTACTAAGATATTTCTAGGATAGATCGAAAGCCCTGGTTTTTGTCTACAATATGATATATGTTTCATTACTATAGCATCGATATTCGCAGAGAAATTCATGTTTAAATTCAAACATCCGTGAAAATTTATATTATAATTTTTCTGTAAATTTTCATAATTCTGCCGGAAATTTTTGTGATGTAATAAAAATTTCTGGTAGAATTACGAAAATTTACGGAAAAATTACGGTATAAATTTTTACGAACGTTTGAATTTAAATGTGAATTTCTCCGCAAATATCAATTCTATAGTAATGAAATACATATCATCTTGTAGCCAAAAACCGGGGCTTTCGATCTATCTTAGAAATATCTTAATAGAAAATCACTTTCTGTTACCTAAATCTCAGCCTTAGTTAAAAAATCAAATTTTTTAGACGTAAATTTCCGGAGGTCATGTGATATTTCTGTAAATCTACGCTTAATTAAATTTCCTGATGAGTGAGTTGAACAAAAAGTACTAATTATATTAGCTAAAAAATATTTATCAATTCCTGCATCATCTGTACCTAATGAACATTTATTTTCTGATGTAGGAAATCAAATTATTATCAAAAGAACAAGTTTTGATTCAAAATTAGCTAGTAAATAATATTTATGAAAAGAAATTTCAAATTTATTTAAATTTATTAATAATATTTTAATAATTTTTAATGTTTAATATAATATTTTTTTAATAAATATAATAAATATATATAATAAATAAAGAAAAGTATTAAAAAAATAAATGTTATAATGTAATTATAAAATCAGAAATAATTAAAAAAAAAATATCATAATGTAATTATAAAATTAAAAATAATTATTGTTAGTTGCTACATATAAAACTTTTTAATATTTACTTATATATTAAAAAGTTTTATATGTAGCAACTAACAATAATTATTTTTAATTGTAAATTTTGATGATCAAATCTGGTTTATAATCTAAACTAGGTGAAACTTGATAAAATTGAGTAAAAAAAAATTTTAGGAAATGATTTGGGTTCATTGAAATATTTGATTTTAAAATTATTTGAATATCCAGATGACTTATTGGAACACAGTTCCAAGTCTTAATTGAAATTGTCAAAGTCAACTTTACGAATATACAGTTAAAGATAAGTTTTTTTTTAAAAAAAATAAATAAAACTTATGTTTCTTGCCTTTACTTTTTCTCTTTTCTCTTTATCTTTCCTCTTCTTATTTTTTACTAGTTCATAAAAATACTTGTGAGATCAAAATCATCAAAATCAGCTTCACGGATATATAGTAAAAGTTGAGTTTTTTTTTTTTGTTTTTTTTTTGTTTTTTTTTGTTTTTTTTTTTGTTTTTTTTTTTGTTTTTTTTTGTTTTTTTTTTGTTTTTTTTTTAAAAAAAATAAATAAAACTTATACTTATCTTGTCTCTTGCCTTCTTCTCCTTACCTTTCACTAGTTCATGAAAACACTTGTGAAAGTTGAAATTGTCAAAATTAACTTCATAAATGTATAGTTAAAAATGAGTTTTTTTTTAAAAAAATAAATAAAACTTATACTTATCTTATTTCTTGTTTTTATTTTTTCTCTCTTCCCTTTACCTTTCCTCTCTTTACCTTAATAATAGTAATAATAATGATAATAATAATAATAATATATTTTTAGGACATTTGAATATTTTAAATTTTCTATATTTTTATTATAATAATATATTTTTAGAACATTTTAAATTTCATACATTTATTATATGCAATAATAATTATATTAATAAAAATAAATGATTATTGGAAATATTATATATATATTATATAAAATTGTATATATATGTAAGAAGGCAGATATATAACTATGAAATTACCTATTTTGAAAAAGTATAATATTCTGTTATTTTTTCTTATATATATTATACAAATTACTACACATTGTTACCTCTGTTTATTTTTATACTTATTAATTTATATATTTATATATTTTATTATCATATTTATTCGTATCTATATTATTTTATTATTAATTATTATATATTTTATCATTATATATAGTATTACAGTAGATCAATTTCATAATCTGTAGT